TTTGTTGTTGGTCAGAAAAATGTATAAAACACTTCTTGTGTTTTGTAAATTCGACGGCAAAAATTTGTGAAACATCGAAATCACGGAAAATCTAGTAAAAATTGTGCTTATTGGTCGTACGAGTATTAAGGATCGAATTAAGTATTTATCACTAATTTATTATTCAATAGATAATTTTGCTGGTGTATCAAGCACTTCAAAATATTTGGAAAATTACTTTCAAAAACTTTATCTCGGTATAAGCTATAACGCGAATTCACTAATTGAAAATAAATAACTAATTGAGTATATTGCTTCGTAGTTCTACCTTAATTTTTTTTCTTTAATAAAATTGAATCTACTATTTTCGAAAAAAAACTGGAATAGAGCAAAAGGACAACTAATGAAAACCAAGCGCTATGTATGGAGCAAAATAAATTTATTTTCGCTAAAGTGACATGGGTTCTTTATCTCAAAGTAATAAAATGAAATTCTAAAACAAATATGTACTAATTTCAAAGAGAAATTGAGTAAGCAACTTTTTTTTTTCATCCAGACTTATCCCATTTCCCCTGTTGGAAAACTTTAGGCGAAAATTAAAAGGCAAAAAACATGATAATAAACAATCAAATCAATTTGTTGTTCTGAAATCTGAAAGTTTAAAGGATACAGATATTGGGAAAATTTTTTGTTATGCACTGGTTTAGCCCTATTACGTGTTTCCAGTTTGAGAATTCCTTACTATCTAGGCGGGTGAGGTAGAACGCTGAATGTGGTGAGAGCTAGGCTCTTATCGAAAATCTGGTGAAACCCACTAATCTCTTATCAGCAAAACATCTGAACATGATACCAAAAGAAAATAATATTGACGTAAAAAGGCTGCAGTGCCGTACAAGCCAAACGCAGCCGAAGCTTTGACAAAAATGTTCCCTACATTTATTACATTCAAAAAAACATTATGAGATTCAGTCTCTATTCCAATATTTTACATAGATGGTTCTTTCCGACCATATTTTGTAAAGAAACTGATGCATGCACCTGATCAGTTCTTCACCACCATATTTAGATACCTCGGCTAGTAATCCATCGGTCCCCGCCGCTTTGTTTTTTTAAGCGGGCGATTGCTATTTGCTTCTCTATATTCGGGAAACGGAACATCTTTTCTATCATCATCAATTGGAGTTTCGGATTCACCTTCTCCGGGTGTTTCAATTTTACTGCCATTCAGCAGGTTGGAGAGGCGTTGCCTTCATAAATTCAGTATACTCTGGACACCCGTCACTAGCTCACTCCTTCGGGTCCTACAAGAGCCTGCTCCAGTACTGAAACCTTCCGAAAGGTGCAGCATCTTTTCGTAGAATTTTCGAGTATTACCCTTGTCGGCCAGCTTCTAAAGTTCCTCGTATGCACGCACCTCGGCATCTATCTTTTTTTGCCTGCAGATGCGTCTTGCTTCCCTCTTCAGCTCTTGATTTCTAGCCCACCCCGCACGTGTTGTGGTCGATCGCAAGGTTGCAAGGTTCTCTCCACTGCGTATCTACAGTTCCCATCGTACCAGCTGTTTTTGCGATCCTTTTGAAATACAATGGTTTCGTTTGCAGCTGTATGTAGAGAATTCGCGATGTTGTAATACAGTTCCTTTACGCCGGGTTGCTGATCAGTGCTCTTAGAGAGCAGGTGTGCAAGTCGGGTAAAAACCGATCGGCAGTCTGTCGTGATTGCAGCTTTTCAACGTCGAACCTTCATTGTTTTTGTTGACGGGCGTTCTTCGATACACAGAGGTGGGTGCATATTTCTGTGATAGAATCTAGTGCTTTCGGGCCCCGGCGAAGCCGATAAGCCTCAGCCCATTTTAGAATGGTTCGTTGTGGACGCTGAGTTTTCCGACTGTTGTTCCAAAAATATTTTTTTTGTCCACACGTTGAAGTCGCCAAGTACAATTTTGACGTCGTTGTGAGGTAGCGCTCATAAGTGTTCTCGAAGCGCTCGTAAAAGTTATATTTGGTAAAGTCATCTTTCTCTTCCATCGAGGCGTGGGAGCAAATTAAAGTGGTGTCAAAGAATTTCGTTTTGAAACGCATTGAGGCATTCATCCACCGGAGTGAATGACAGTACTCGAAAGGGCGTCTCTCCCCTCCACCACGAATACGACACCAAATTTGCGCTCCTTTATATGACCGACGTAGTAAATTTCACAAGGACCCACTTTCTTCCGTTCTTGTCCCGTCCATCGTGTCTATTGGACGGCGGTGATGTCAACCTTTATTCTTACGAGGACATAAGCAAGCACCTTCCCACTTTAGGGATTGGACATTCCATTTGCATCTCCTCAAATCGTAATCCTTAAAACATTTGCGAGGGTCGTCATCGAAAGGGGGGTCTCTCATCCGAGGCTGATTAAAATTGTTCATTGTTTTAGAATTACTCAGCTAATGTAATCATTTATAGTATTGTAATTACAGTAAAAATAAATAAAATTAATATACACACAGAAAATGACTTTATTCACTATTACCGATATTGATCCATTGCCAGTTTGTACAGGTACAAGTGTAAATATCTTGGAAACTTCAACTTTCGACTAGGACTAGGTAGGACAGAGTAGGTCTCTTCACTGTTGCATAAGCTACTGCATACAGAAACAGAAATCTTGTCCTATATCAAATACATTTACGGTCAATAGAACATATGTATATGGTGATGTAAAGAAAATCAATATGAGCCTGAACAGAAAAATGGCTCAAATGTCTGTAAAACTTATTTGATCACCTTTCCAGACTAAACCTACCCTTATCAAGAACTTAATTGAAGCACTCAACTGACTTTTTAGTATTTAATTAAGTTGTTTCCCAAATTCTCAAATGTTGAAGTCAAAGAAGAAATATTTGGCTTGATGTTAGAAGTAAATTCTTGCATAAATTTGGACACTGGCTAATTGCTTCTTGTTATTTGAGTTTTTGCTCTCTGGCATATATCTATGAATGGTTTTATTTATGTCGGAATGCAATGCTCAAATAATCAGCGTGGTGATTCAGCTAAAGCGCTTATTGTTGGCAATGAAAATTACGTTCTTATGGTCCAGATCAGATATCTGCGTCTTCCCATTCATGCTCCCTTGATGTGTAAGCGGCTGGTGTCTGCGCTGCATCAAAAGACAATTTTTTGCAAAGTGCCTTGCGCTTAAACTGAATACATTCTGTATTTTCCCCCTCCTGCTAAGATAGATTAAATAGTTTTTGAATAAGTAATGCTAGATTTTGAAAACTAGATCTAACAAACATCGAATGACGATACGAAAGATTTTGGAATAAAAGCGGGCTGTGCTTTCCTTTATGCTTCCAATGCTTGTTTCAGCCAAACAAATTGACCAATCCTAATTAAATTTGCACGAGTTGTTGCTGTTGATCTAATCTATGTTTATTTGAAATAATTAATACATAAATGCTTATAAATTATAAATAATTTGTTGTTAATAAATTAACACCTTCTTCACAAATTTTTTCTTAGCACGTGCACTTATTTAACATACATGATGCAAAATACTAACTTCAATCTGCTCACATGCGATTACTAAAAATGGTTGTATTTTTATTTTATTTGGTTAGCAGTAAAATATTATTTTATTTTTGTATATTACTTCGAGTTGATTTGCAAGGGAAGTGTCTGACAATAACAAAAAGTTGGTGTTGCCATCCGGCATAAAATTAATATACACTACTGTTCAGGATTGTATGCACACAATTATAATTTAAAAACACATTTTTTATACTTCTTAAAAGGAATGACATAAATTATTATGCAAGGCGAAGCCGCTGTTGGTCCGGCCCAGGGTTATAATCAAAAGCGCAGCCAAAGACCGCCAATTCACAAAGTAGTTTCGCCTAAAAATACAGTGCAAGGCAAAGCCGGTGTTGGTCTGGCCTAGGGCTAGAATCAAAAGCGCGGCCGAAGGCCTCCAACTTACAAAGAAGTTTCACCTAAAATACTGTGCAAGGCCAAGCCGGCTAATTTCGCCGACATGATTCTTGAGTACCTGTGGCAAAAATCAGTAACAACAAATTGAACATTCTGTAAACAAGGAATCGAAGCCTTTTGTAATGGAAGATTGGCGGACGCTTTCGGGAACGAGGACTGTGATATGGGTTTTGTGCGCGCCGTTTTGGCGGACACAGGATAAAATTGGCAACGCTTTAACAAATATCATTCGCTTTGGGATGCGTTACAATCACTATTGCACATGCACTTTGATGAGTCAGTGGTTCGCAAACTAGTCCAATGAACACTCTTTGCATGTTTCTTATTTGGTGTACAATGTTTGATTGTATATATGATATTATCAAGCTAAATCGGGATTATTTTAATATCCCTTATTGATGAAATGTGCTCATTTAAGGATAACCGTTCCACAAGATCGATGGTGGGGTTTGCTTTCTTTTTAGAAATATTTATATATTGTCGACGTTTAGGTGGACGTGCAAGACTGATACATTATTTGGCTATATCAGTATTTCATTTGAACCAATCGCCGGCAACCAATCGGCATCGAATATCTTTCCGTCAACAAGATAAACATAATTGTTAGGATCAGTTGGAGTAATATCTTTTGCCAACTTTTTAGAGGCTTAAGCTCAGTATTGGCGTTTGTTTTGGCGAATGCATATGATCTATACGCTTCCAAAAACTGCATCATAGTAAAAAAAATTATTCGTAATCTTCCCATTTCACCCACGACGAAAAACGACAATTAAACAGAGGGATTAATGTTAGCGCCACTTATGCGACTGAATAGTTTGGTCAGTGCTGTCAAGGTGAGGCCTTACGCGAAGGTCACCTTAGTCGCCGCCCATCGTATAGCTTCCACAGCGGAGACGGTCTTGCCCACCAACATTAAGAAAAAAGTCCCAAGAAAATCACAAAGAAGTTGCCACCGGAAAAATTCGTTCCCAATTGTAGAAACATTATTTCGCAAACGAACGTCGAAAGTCACACAGACGTTAGCTGATACATGGTATTGGTTTATAAAATATATTTTAATGTTAATCTTAAAAATGTTGATAAAAGTACAATATTACATTTTATATATTTGAAGTAGTCAACTTAATTTGATTGTTAAGTCGTGTGCATGGCAACACCTTATAAATCAGGTTCATCATCCTCAGGTTCAACTGGTGTCCTCACAGCAAAAATCCATTTATAAGTCAAGGCTCCCAAAATGCCTCCAATCATCGGAGCTAACCAATAAATCCAATGATCTTCCCAATCCAAGTAAATCAAAGCCGATCCAAAAACACGTGCCGGATTCAGACAACCTCCGGTTAACCGATATGCAGCAAAGTAAGCCACAATTATTGTACCACCAACGGCCAATGGTGCAGTGTCTCTCAAACCCACCTTCTTTTGACTTTTCACGCTTTCTGCCAGAAAGACCCAGATGAATGTGAGTAGCGCTTCAATTATTATTGTGCCCGCAGTAGAGACATGTGGATGTTTCGGCACCCCCAAATGTGTTCTTTTCAATTTTGTAGGTAGTATAGCAAGCGCCGCTACAACTCCAACGACAGAACCCAAACATTGCATTATAATGAACAGGCAACACATTAGCAAACTTATTGAACCAACAACGAGTGCGCTCATTGTAACAGCAGGATTAAAGTGGCAAGTACTGCGGCGTCCCAGAACTTGTGATACGCCAGCGAATACCAAACCTAAACCGAAGGCAATCTGTTCCATTGAAGCACCTGCTGAAGGAGAATCTGATCGATTTAATGCTTCTTGTGGATCAATATACTGTTGTGCCATAGTAAGAATGAAAGTGAAGGCGATGGCTAAGGTACCAAAAAATTCGGTAGCCAATAAAATCATATTGGTTTTAGTGCAATCGTCTAATCCGAGAAATTCGCGTACCACTCTTCTATCTTGGCTTACTTTAGTCTCCGACATTTTTGAACGTAATTTATTTTGTTTCTTTTTTTATGAATACTTTAAAAATATCAGTAAAAACGAACGTCATTATTAAAATGAAAAACTTTTCACAGTTACTTTGAGCACTGAGCTCCGAAGTACAATATGTTAAATAAAAAAGTTAAGCACTATGACTAACGACAATAATTTCCTAATGTTATGTCTTCGGTATATTACATATATACTAAATATATAGCTTTGGTGATAAGTGTTAAAAAGGTATGAAGGAGATAGCTCGTAGGGATTGCCATTCCCTGCAGAGGGGAGAAAATTAGCTTAATTTTTGGGCCGCCAGTATACCGATAGCATAATAAAGAGCTACAAAAGCATGACCTCAGAAGAACCGCAGTCACCCATATTACCGGATAAATTCAAATCATAACGAGTTGGATAGTTCATGGCCTCACCATCACGAAAAGTGTTGAAAGCTCGTTGACCAATTACGATTGGGAAACATTATTGTCTTTATCAAATGATTTTGTTCACACAATGGCAACAGCAAAATATGCCCCAGAAAATGCACCACAGTACCGTATTATTTATAAATTTCTGTTTGAGTAAAGTTTGTAGTATTGTTTTAGTTTTGTTTTCATCGTTTCCCTAAAAGACTTATAGGATATAAGGTTACGTCAATCGTTGACGTCACCGCGCCAACTGCGCCATATACATACATGTACAGTGGCCGAGAATTATTTTTTATTACCAATATAAGTAATTAATTTTGGATATAAAAATGTGTGCCAAAAACTTAAATACTTGAATAAGCTTATGTTAACTGAGTTAAATTGAAATTATAATAAAATAAAAGTAATCAATACTAGAATACCAGGAGTTGCCCTTGACTTCGAACGCATGGGAATAAAAGATGGTTCTAATAAGTTATTTAATAGATTTTTGCGTGATTTTTTTTTATATTTTTTAAAATGCTATATTAAAATACATGAAAAAGAAGTAAAATTTTCCATATAAAAGCCTAGGCCATAAAAACGATTTTCTAGGTTTTTTCATTATTTAAAAATGTCAAGAAATACTGAGTGAAATTTTTTTAAGCTTACATTAGTATTTACAAACAAATTTTTTTCTAAATTAAAATACATTTTTTTCGACATAAAACTATTTAGGATATATGTATTGTTTGTATTGTACATATATACTAATGAAGGTTTTATCAAAAGTTTTTTCGAAAATATTGACCACCTGACATATACTTGACTTGCGCTTCATTTTTGTGCTATCGATTTCATTTTTTTAAAAATAAGCTTTCAACATTCTAAAATTAGAAAAAAAATTAAAGAAAATGAAAGGCATTTCAAATTAAACAAAAAAGTAGAGAAAAATAAAACATACTTACGAAAATCTCAAAGGGTTTGCATTGTTTTGTCTGAAATCTAATGGAAATAAAATTATTTTCAGGCGCCTTAGCATTAAAGTTAAAATTATGAAGACTTTTTTAAAAAATTTTGGCAACCCCCCGGAATTGAACCAACTAGCTTATTAAACTTATGATTTTACTGCTTACATGGTTCAAAAAACAACTTACTTTAATTTGAAAAAGTCTTATAAAATATTGATTATCTGACATAAATTTACTTTTAAATCTTGCTTTATTTTTGTTCTACCAATTAAATTAAAAATATTTCGACTTTCTAGAAATTAAAAAAAGTAATATAAAATAATATGTTAAGCTTTCCTTTCCTTTTTCCTTTCTCAGCAAAAAATAAAGAAAAGTAAGGCATACTGACTAAAAATGGAAATGTTTAGCATTTTATTATTTGAAATCTAATGGAAATAAAAGTAATTTCAAGTATCTTAGGATCTACTTATGAAAAAAATTATCAAATTTTTTTTAAGTTTAAATGTAAAGTGTTAAAAATTTTCTTCTGGCAATTTCATATTGAACGAAACTTTATTACCTTCGTACCATGATTTGAGCAAGAGAGAGCTATTTTTTGACTTTCAAACATAAAAATTTGTTATATCTTTTAAAGCTTCAAAAATGAGATGCAAGGATTTTTTGAGTATCAAAATGTTATTTCTTAACTCAAGAATTGTACTCACTAATTTGAGCCATATTAAAAGCTCAAAAGTAAGACTGTTATGCCAAAACACACTCGAACACCTGTTGCAATTTGCTCTCCTGTTTTGTATACCTTCTGTAAAGGAAGGAAGAAAATTTTTATGATATAGATTAGATTGCCGGTCATACTCAGAGTTCGCGCTTTCACACGCACTATAGTCTATTGGACGCTCTCATGCTCAGGATAACGTGCTCTCATGCTCAGAATAATGTGCTCTCATGCCTATTTTATTGAGCTCACTCAGCCAATAATTGCTACAAATATATATTTATGAAGAAGAGCCGAACTCTTGCGAACGCTTTAGTGAAGTGATTCGACAAAAATTTACACTTCAATCCACCCGACGAGGGTTGACAACCGACGATGAATTGGCAGCTTATAATAAGTTTTCGTGTGACATCGCTTTCCTTATATTCACCACAGCTTTGCAGTTGAACTTCATTGTCATCCTGCCGCATACCAAATATGCGTACTCCTACTTCCGTGCCGACGAGATGTCTTTATTTAAAGGATCCAGTTATATTTTTACTCTCTGTGAAAGTGAACGTATGTGTCGTGAATGGACGCGTTAAAACGGTTTTGTTTATATTTTGCTTGTCAACGGATATTCGAAAGGAAATATTTCTGAAAATAAAACGAAATGTATTGTTTTAAGTGTACATAATAGGTATTCAGAGCGATAAGTTAGTAAATATGAATGTAATAAATACCAAAAATTTAATAATTTGAAAATGTAACAATTCAATTTTGAAAGTCATTATACTACTGCGCTGCAATATTGCTTGCTTCCCATTGGTACGCCACTTGTAGCCACATTTTGTTAGCGGTTTGCCGTGTTTTGGGAGAAACTATGAAGGAATGAACTGCGACGAATGTCAGGATTATCACTGAGAAAACTAAAATGTGCATAGAAATCGAATCAAATTAACAGCAAATAATTTGATTTAAAAAAAAATAAGAATAAGAAAAAAAATTAAAATACTAATTTAAATATGCATGTGCATATATATGTACAACTCATTGAAAAATATTGCATACAAAATGCTGCTGTGCTTTTTAGCTGTTATTCCCACTGTTGCTGCCATTAAATTTGCGGTTTCTGTAATTTTTAGTGTGCTATAAAATGGTTAAAGTTGCTTTCGTTTCTTAAATTTAAGACCCATGTCCTGTTGGGGTAGCTATAAATCTGTATATACTTTTCTTGGACCCACTCAATATGTCTTTAGTTCTAGATTTATTGTACTTGAAACATATCGTCTTCTTCATCTTAAAGTTGGTTATATATTTCCATCTGTTCTGAGCTTTTTGCTCCAAATATTATTCTCTTTGTTGATCGTTCTTAGGTAGCATGGTATTAATACCGCTTCGGTACCGGTCATATTCATGTGATCGGAAAACCATATTATCGATAAGTTAAGTTGACATGTGTGCTTAAAGCCCCTCATGCGACGACAAGTCGAGAAGTACTGTTGAGTTGTTTGTGCTTTTGGTTGCTTTCTATACCCTCATATTGTTATTTAATACAGCTCCATAGCCTTTCTCTATACCTAGTACTTCCGCTTAGAAAATGCTTGATGAGTTTTTATAGATTAAAATGGTATTCTCCTTCGCACTGAATCTCTTCTCTATTCACATGTAGAACTACCGAAATCCTGTTTTTGAAGGACATAAAGTACTAGTTGTTATAAGCTGGTTCAGCATGTCGCTGTGTCTATAATTATTTTGAATCGAACCATCCAACTCCTTATTTCTTATGGCAGAACATGTTGCTACTTTCCGATTGAAAAACTTCTATGGCCAGTTGATTACTGAGTGCATCTGTTGGAAATGCCTTAATAGCGCCGGTTACCTCTAAGCATGCCGCTTTGCGTATTTTATTTTATTAATACTAAAAACTTAAACCCAGTAATTAGAAAATTATTGTAGCAACACCTACTTAGACTGCCCACATAAATGATATTGCAACCAAACTTCAGATTGCAAGTAAGCGACCTGAGGAGGACCAAATCTTGTCACATAATCCTATGCAATATAATACAATACATATAATTTGCGCTTTGTAACAGATGAAGCGATTTTTCGATCAACCTCCTCCCGCAATTTGTGGTTTTGCGTCTTGATGGAGGGATGGGAGGGATGGAGGGATCTTCAGTTTATACTAAACCACCTCCAAACGGCTGATGATTATTTGTTTAATCAGGAATTTTATTTCATGTAAAAAATATGCTTCCCTGAAATTTATTTTTTTTTAAATTCATTTTCTATTACTTTTGGACTTGAACCCGAGCTTTCGAAATGGCAGTACGCAATGCCAACCACTCGGCTACGGCGGCTGTCAATAGTATGTTATATTCTAGGGGAAATAATTAGTAATTCGATAATTTAAGTATAAAACTCTAGCTCAACTAATGAAACCATGTAATTTCGTTTTAAATACATGAAAAACAACTGTATCAGAACCATTTCGTTTCGCTTCGGCGTTATGTTGAAATTGTTAATGTTGAAACCGCAAAATGTCATCAGTAAAGTTAGGTTTAAAATGATTTCTTGCTATGATGTTAAGAGCACGCTTCAATTTTAACATTTAACATTTTCTGTAAACGATTTAACATTTACAACAGCTTTCTATTAACGATAACATTTACAAATGTTCGAATCGATTGAAATTTTTAATTAACAAAAAATTTTTGGGGTTTTAACTAAAAGCAAGAGAAATTTATTAACACAGTTTCTGTGAACCTATAAATTCGGTTGTATATATATCAATTGATGTAACATAATCTCGAATTGCAAAGTTTTTCTTAATTACATTGAGAATTTAAATATGTTTTGGTCAAAATAAAAACCAAAAACTACCAAAGTGGCTAGTCAGTAGCAACATTTAAAATGAAAGAAACGCTCACTTAATATAACAACAACACCACCACCAATGAAGTGGCAACACAGCAGCAGTTCATTAG